AAATAAAGAGCAAACACCAACAGAGTTTAAGAAGGTTTTGTATCGTTAAGAGCGCAACATTACTCCAATATGGATATCATCAACTAAACATATTTAAGTTTTGTCTATGAGTGATAGAAGACCGCACATCTATCAAGCCCATATAATTAACGATATTTCTTAAGTTATCAAGGACGAACATGAGGAATGTAAAAGAGATCTTTACCAAGAACTGACTTCAGCCATAGCGTGTGTTGTCCTGAGACGACAGTGACGGTTAAATGTTTTGGAGAGAAAGGAGGTTGCGCTTTTGAATAGTGTAAGGATGTAATAGTTTTTTATTTTTGAAAAGATGTTATTTTCCCTTTATGTATAATTTAATTGATCTATATTACGATCATTAAATTAACATTGAAAGTCTTTCAAATTGTTATATTTTAATGTAGTAACCCATATATGATAGGAAATTTTATTAATTATTATAAATATTAATCATTCTTGAATAAATTTCAGTGATCTCTCCTATTTTTACATGGAAAATACAAGTTTAAGTTTCAAATCACTCCAAGATTTATCTTATAAAGTATTATCAAATCATTGCCATTTACATATTCTAGTGACATTTGAAAAAAAAAAAAAAAAATCTTTTTATGACTTCCTTTCACAATCTTGCTAATTGTTAAGTAAGAAAATTATTAAATAAATCTGAATTAACATAAGATAAGACAATAAAGTTGGTCAATATTCTGGAGAAACAAGGAACTTTGAAGCATGCCAAAGTAAAATACCCATTATTCAACTGCAAATATGCAAGAATCATGACCTAGAGATGGAAATATTTCTCCCATTCCAGTAGTTCAAATAACATAAAATATCGGTGAAAATAAAAGAAATTACATCAAATTGCTCATAAAAGAATTACATTTTTATTCTCACAACAGTAAAATCAATATGTTTGTCCTAAGCTCTGGGGTTGGCTAGGAAGAGAGATTTGCACTTATCCACCGTATCTTCAGGGCTGGTAACTGCAAAACCATGCCATCATATAAACCCATCACAGAAACAATTCAAAACATTCTGTACATCCAACTGTTTGTGCGCATTCAACAGAAACGAAATCATCCCATCTTGATTTTTAATGTCTTGAAAATAAATTCATTTTCTCACCAATAAAATCATTTCTCAAAATTTCAAGGGAAGGGTTATTTACATCTTTTCTTCTACCTACTAGTCAGCTCCATTATGGTCATTATTGAATCGTTCCTTTATTTACACCCTATTCACTGAAAACTGAATGAAATAACATGATTCCAGGTGACATCCAAAATTCCTAATATGAATCAATGTTAAAATATAAGCTCACCTGTGTGACCACTGTTCGCTCAGATTCATAAATTTCATGATCATTCCCTCCCTGCTCAAAACAAAAAACCAAGCTCTACCATAGTATCAAGAGACGATATGAAACTACTGAACAAAGAAATAGATTTACATTAATTACTACGTAATTGCCAGATGCATACAAAGACTAGACTATAATGAACCATCAACGATGATAGAATCTAAAAGCACAAGCTCCTCAAGAAGGTTTGCAAGTTAACACCATTCCTCACCACACCAAGACCAAAATGAAAGGGCAATGCAGAACAGTGTTTCAAAATACCAGAGTAGTTAACTCTCGGAGAGTAGCATCCTTCCATGTATAAATTTGAAACTGATCCTTAGGCTCCTGCCTCTCATGCGAAATCCTCCCAGATTGATGACCCCCAATCTGGAGAACGTTCACGTACAACTTTAAAATGCAAGTATAAATTTGGAGGACAGCAACAACCCCGGTTGATATCAAAGGGACCAAAAAGCACAGTCGAGACTCTTAACAATAGACATACCTTATAAAAAATTCGAAGCAAAGTCTGCATTCAAAGAAAAAAAAAAGCACATTAGCATGCGTGAAAAAAAACACGAATCCAAATAAATTATAAATGATAACCGAGTATTGCCCTACAAAGCTTATTGAGTCTTTAATATTTAATTAAAAAAAAATTACTAAAGATAACACAAACTGGTACTGTTGCTAAATATGAACACTCCAATTATCTTAATCACAAACTAAAAAAAACTAAATAATCATTAATCATAGTACATGTGGGAAGTAGTTGACGGTTGCCAGAGTATCTATAACATGCGATAAGATATACAGTTTCAAATTCAGAATTGTATCAATTCAAACAAAATACATTTACGGCAATGTCTTTTCAGAAAGACCAATTGCGTTCAAAATGGTCTATCCCAGTTTTACTTTGCTGTCTCGTGCTCCGAAGAACTGAGACCAGCAAGGTAAATTCAACAAGAAAAATTGAACTTGAATCGTCTCTTAGTGCGAGTGAAGGAACAAAAGAGAAGTAATTGCTGGGACATTGTGCCATCGTATTTATAATCTAGTATCTAACAAGGTAACTATAGACGTCTCCTATCTAACAAGGTAACTATAGACGTCTTCCTACTTTTTTATAAATACAAATTTGATAATAAAGAGTACAAATTATGCTCAATAGATGATAAACCATGATAATACTGTAAATTGCATCTTCAGAGCGTTTATGGATTTAAAACTATAATAAACCATGCATGCACACCAAAAAAATAAGAGCAAAATGTATCCTTCTAAGAGGAATTTATTGACGGAAGTAACATTCTGTGATTTATAACAAAATTCTGAATTCACAGCTTGCTGTAAAACGACACTAACTAGGCAATGGCAATGATCATATACAGCTCATATTGACAAGTTTTCTGAACACGTAGAATAAAACATGATATGATGTTTCCAATTTCACCAACTGGGCACCTATATTATGAAATATAAGATAACCCCGTTCCCCAATTCATGCTAGGACTACCACAATTCTCGTATATATATCGTAGGTGGATCAAATAATATGAAATATGAGATAACCCAGTTTCCCAATTTGGCATTTCAGTGAGTAATTCATGGCACCCAAGGTTTTGGATCTAAACATCAACACCTCATCTGTCATATTCACTGCTGCTTTCAAGCATGACCTTGACCTTCCCCAATCAATACTGCATTCTAATTCAATTGGATCATCTATTGTGGCACCCCGAATTTCATATTTCCCTAGCTGCATGCATAAAAGGAGAAAGTAATTTTTATTAAATTAAACTAGATAACTCATTTATGATGTGGCAGTGGCATGGCACCTACCTCTTTCATGAGGATAATCTCCTTGTTCTTTCTTAAGAACCTTAATTGTTCATTGTTTACAGAGATATTGAGTAAATCATTATCATCAGCTCCTGCAGAAAACTTGAACAGTTAGAAATATGTTGAAGTCAATGATCTCTGACTCTGACAGCAACTATCAAAATAAGCATCATTCAAATTAATCACCTGCTGCTTCTCCTGGAATGGCCAGCTCTTCAAAAACACGATTAAACTCTTGAGAAGGTACTCCAATTGCAATATCATCATATCGCTCTGCAAACTCAGGAACCTCTTTGAATTTTCTAAATTCCATCTGATGGCATCGTATTTTGTCAGTTCCTGAGATTGAATTTCACCATTAATGAAACCATCTGAAAACAATTTTCTAAAAGACTATTTCATAATTAATTACTTATTAATAAACAAAAGATGATATTAATAAGTCATCAGTAAACTATTTTAATCCTGTAATAAAAAGAATTAAAAAAAAAGGCAGCTTGTTTTATGATATCACTCTCATAAAGTGAAAAACCCAGAGTGAAAACGTCAAGTCGTACTACGTAATTTAATCTTATATAAGATCATGTGGGTCAAAATCAAATGATAATAGAAATACGACATCTCATGTAAACCAAACAGTCGCATGAAGATTTTGAACAAAAACAGCATAATTCACCGCAATTTGAATACAGATCTTCTTCCAAAACAGAAACAAAGACAAAGATGTTGGTTTTTGAGCTTGAACTTCTTTGAACAAAAGAAACAAACCCTAGTTTATGATTCTACATGGCTACATTGTTCACAAGATAATCTTTCACTATCATCAATTGAGTATATTTCTTCGTATGTAACAAAACAAGAATTAACCAGCTGCCATAAGGCTTCCAATGGAGTGGTTATCTTCTACTGAAGACATACTTTTCCCACATTTTCTCGTGGGTCTAACAAGAAAAAAGGTAAATAATAATAAATATGCATCCTAATAGATTATCCCGACCATCGGATACAAGTTTCTCACATTGAATCACTGCAAGAAAAATTTTCTTACACAATAACAACCAGGAAATGTAACATTCACGATCTTGGAACAAGCAAGATTTCCAAGAAAACTAGAAATGAACATACCAATGTCTTTAAAGCGAAATATAATCATCCTATCTCCTTTAGGAATCTTTATCCTTCTGATATCACCGAATGAGATTTCTATGGCCTCTTGATCAGTAGCCATGTTGAGTTTTTCGCAAAAGGCAGTAAGGTCGATGTATATGTGGCCAGGTTTGCCACAGTCAAAGATTTCGAAACCTGTAGGCAAGAGGTGAAGTGTGGCAATGATCAAGCCTCGGAACTTCCCATAAACGTAGAGAGATACCCCATCTTCATTGTAGCAGATGGCGGCATTTGTATCTATGATTTTTGCCACTGCTGCCACTGCACTTTTTAGGAGACTACTATCATATGGCTTAAGCACTAACATGGTACTGGGTAGAAAATCTGTTTCTTGATTTTGAGAAGTAGCAATAGGTGTTTACTGTTTACTTGGATATAAGTTTAAATATGTATGCTGTAGGTGTGATTTGGTGTTGGGTTTAGCCGTTATGATTAGAGGCTGCTAATTTTATTTAGTGACTGACTTTAAACTGTCTGGAGATTCCTTAAATAGTTAACGGATTCCTAGGTTGATAGGCAATTAAGTACTTATTAAAATCTTCCTTGTATTTTTATCATAAATTCAGCAACAAATTCTTTAAGCTTTCAAATTAAATAAGCAGGGCAACCACACAGAGAAACAGATTACAATATGTACGTGCATATGTTAAGTTTTAACGGCATAAATGTTTACTTTGACAGCAGTAGTGTATCACATGATCCGGTAACAATAAAATAAAATAGAAAATTCAAAATAATTTTGTCAACACTCAAAGAAGAGTTTGAACATGATGAGGAGGTCTTCCTCTTCCGCCAGAAAAATGCTGATGAGAAGTATAAATGGTAATTTATGAAGTTCGATCCTCTGTGTGGTTGTCTTCACCAGTAGGTCCTTCTGGTTTAGTCTCAGCTGGTTCAGTCTCAGCTGGTTCAGAAGTTGTCGAAGCATTCCTCCTATGGGTAGCAGCCTTGAGAACATGGCTATAATTGCCTTTCTCCATGAAGAGCTGAGAAAAGTGATGCTTGCAGTAAAGAACTCCATCAAGAGCTGCATAAGATGAGTGTGTAAGAGGACACCCACCATGAGCACACCTGAAACATGTCTTGTGGTAACATTCACCCTCCATTGTCACCTGTACGTTCATTTTTTAATATCATCAATCAATACTTCAATTTGCTTCACTTCTCAAATCAAATCATCATCAACTTGACCGACCCTTTTATTTTAACTTAAAACTCTTCATTTGGCCTAGTTCATAATCAAATAATCCAGCTATAATCTGAATTTCTCATAATTACTATCCTGTTGCACATGAAAAAACCGTTATTTTTTTTTTTTTAGCCAGAAGGAAACTAGTGCATTCAGAATTGCAAACCTTCTCAAGGGGGTACACTGTTTTCTCGCAGGCTGCACATTTGTCTTGGGTTCCACAAAACAAGGAAGAGAGTTTGCTGGGTGTCCTAGACTGTACCAGTAATCAAATTTTTGTATTAAGTTTAATGAAAAGGGAAAGAAAAAAAAGATAATCAGAGAACTGTGGATGATTTTGGATGGCAAATATTAACGACGCCATAAAGAATCCCTTCCACTGAAACTCTGGAAGGGTTTTATGTAACATAAATGCTTTCATTTTAACAAAACATTGAAAAGGATCTTATGGGGTAGGCAAGTAAAAGAATAGAACAGAGGATATACCAGCTCATGATTCCTCTCTGACTTTCCTGTAACATCATTATCATACAATAACACATTGTTAGCCAAATATAAAGCAATCTGTATAATGTTATGAAGTTTGTAGCCAGAATTTCATCTCAGACAGACAAAAAGAGTAACCTTACCAGTTTGAAAATTCTTACTGAAATTGCCAGATTCCTTAAAAAGTTGCTCGAAATGAGGCTTGCAGTAGAGGACTCCATCCATGGAGGAGTAGTTGCTCATCTGGGTTATAATAAAAATAAAGGTTATAATTAAAACGGAAAAAGGAAATTATTAAAAGAAGGGAAACACAAATACCACAAGAGTTCCTTTGCAGTGGCTGCATTTGAAGCAGGATTTATGGTAAGGCGTTCCTTCAAGGGATAACATATCAACCACATAAACAGTCTTATCACAAGCCTTGCATTTGTCCAAAGTTCCTGTGAATGCCATACTTTTTCCTTCTTGGAAAAAGATCCGAAAACCGGAAACTTTTTCAAGATGTGTGGTATAAATGTAACAAGTTTCCTGAGGATCAAACAAAAGATGAACAGGAAAGCACCTCACTACTTAAATGCTGCCTCAGACAAGTTTAGAACAGCTCCTTTGTTTATACAAATCAAAAGACTATAATGGAGTTTTTGCCTTGTCTTGCAATGGTGTAAAATTGATTGGTGTCAACCCATAAAAAGATTGACACGTGATTGGAGATCCCCTACATTATGAGTTAAAGTATGCTATGTTAGCGCTGTAAATGTGGATGTAGTACAATGAAATTGGAGAAAAAGAAGGTTGGCACTCTTGACTTTTTCAATTATAATTTAAAGCCAAACTGTGGTGTTAAAATCTAAATGAATGTCAAATATAACAATGGCTTCTGATGCAACTCAAACCCAACTGTTGAAATCAAACGTTATCATTGGGTGGATTGATATTCATATATCCAACTACCAATATCCTTTTTATGGAAATTCCACTTTGGGGCAGCCATTTAATCCATTAATTTTCACATAATTTAGGTAACTGTGTTGCAAAGATAAAAGGGATAATTCTATACTATCTTAATAATACAACTAAATGAATCCAACAAACTCTGATTTTCTTAATGAACATGCTTTCCAGATCATGAGCGTTTCGGATTAAGATTGACAGATTTTAACAGAGTCCTGCTCGGCCCAAGCAGATTGGTAGCTGGCAAGATTTAACCCAATTTTCTCATTGCACAAGTAAAATATTTAAAGGCGAAAAATAATATAACAGTATTAAGAGACATGTACTTGGAATTTCGAATAAAGTAATTCTGAAATTTGAGTAGGTTTTCCCAGGCAAATTAACCCAATAGAATGGAAAATTATCCCAGGATGTTGATGGTGATTGAATCACTCAATCAAGGCAACACAACTTGCTGGCACAGAATAAGATCTGATATGGTTTTTCCATGCCGATCAATCCTCCTAGAGCAGTTGACACCACCATCTAGAATGTTTAGAACCACAACATTCAAAGAATGGATTCCTCTAACTTCATAAATTTCTACTTTTACATGTTCATTGACCCATTGGTCTCTCTTATTGATGGCAACTGAGTCAGGAAATGAAGAGGGATTCAGAAGAGTTGAAACAACTTCCTTCACCCACTGGGGTGTTATGATCAACTTCAACCTCTCTACATCCAGAGGGAAATGCGGGATAATCGAGAAATTCAAGTCATTTCCCTTGTCGCCTACCCTACTATGGCATACAGTATAAAGAGGAATCTTCTGGCCAGATGGAGCAGGACAAACATCAACTTCTGGTGACAAATGGTCCAAAAACGATTCCTGACTTGCTTTTGTTGTCAACAAGGCTTCCTGCAAAACATGGGCTTTTGATAAATTTTCTGCAAGGGCAATTTGATGAGTAGTTGAATCTGCTAGATCAGTGCACTTCAACCCAGTTTGCCAGAAAACATGTTCACGTCCAATCTGAATGAACACAGACACTTTTTCTTAAGAATGCTTATATCCTACTAACTACTAAGAGAGTGTTTGCTAAGAATTTAAATTAAAAGAGAGGAAAGTACAGAGGGACGGTACCAATTGCTTTTCAAGAATAATCTCTTTCTTGTGTCCAGTGCTGCAATCCAAAAACAGAGAGTAAATAGCAACTCTTTTACAGTGATAATCTACACTCATTTCTAACGAGCACAGCTTGATGCAAAAAACATTCCTCTTTTTGAGCAACACTCCTGTGTTTTAAAAACTACAAAGGAAGAAACGGCTGCTCAGAAAATGACCTTATGCCACCACCACCAGCAGGTCCATTTGTATATAAAGCAGTGAATTCTTTAGCAAACTCCACAGCCTGATCCTTCAGCTCAAATAGACCATCCATGCGTAATCTAATATCTTGACTAGCCCACAACAATGAAGGATCATTGCCAGTGCAGGTTGCCTTCAAGCTATCAAGTCCAATTATGTAAGAAAGTATATGGTGATTAACTCCAGGAAATAATTCTTCCATCCATGACTTAACCTAATTATATACAAGGAAAAAGAAGATTACTTCAAAAAGAATCATAAAACAGAGGTAGTTCAATTTTCTAGTAGTCTCTTCAATCACAAATTAACACAATGGCTGTCTTTTGAGACATCAATTCATTTAAACCATCATAGACTTAAATAAGGGTGTACCAAATATTCAGCAGCTTTAGCACGCTTAACACATTCTTGTCCTCCATAAGATATCTCACCCCATCCCTTCCATCCACGGAACTGAAAAGCAGAATACTTAAATATCAGAAAATAAAAGTGGATACTCCATTTATTCACCCATATTCTTCTCGTCAACTTTAAAAAGTGTCATTCATCTATGCCAAGTGCAGAAACTGTAGGCACACAAATACCCAACAGCTCAATATCTGTAGTTGACCCAAAAAGAAATGGGATGGGATGGTCAGCAGGCAGAAAGATTGTCATTCATGGCAGTTGATCTATTGCTTTTAATTCACCTTCTACACAATTATTGGCAAACGATAAATTACCTTTGGAACCAGCCGCAAGAATTTATCAGGTACTGACCCAGGTGAAGGTTTTGCTCCAGCACAGAGAACTTTATGGCTTGATAAGGAATGAAAAGTAACATCCCGAAAGTCAATTACCTGCATAGAGAAAAAAGATGTCAACTTTTCTTCTTTTGTATTTTTCCTTCTATGTCATCATATATCATAAGTCACCAGTTCTAGATATGCATCCAATTTACCACATCCGGAGTGACATAAGCACCTGGATCTCCAATTTCATAAAGAAGTTGTTGAGCACAAGTACTGAAATTTAAAACCCCACCACTACCCTCTGCCTTTGCCACAAATACTTCCCCATCACAGCTAACTTCAGCATAAGGAAGAGAAATATCAAGGAGATGCTGAAAAGATATGTTCCGATACTTATCTCCTGTAGTAAAGATACAAGAAAAATTACAATAAGTGCATCAAATATATAAAAGCTCATATAGAGACATTATAGAGTTGAAAGAAAGCCAAAATAAGTCCACCTGGATGCATGAAGTATCCGCCTGTGAGTTGACAGCCACACTCTAGAAGATGGCCGGCTAGAGAGCCCTGTGCCAGCCGATCGAAGTCATTCCAATTCCAACCTAGTTCATAAACCTAATCATGTACCAGTTAGATCAGTCTTTCTATTGACAATATCAAGTATATCTTATTCATAAGCCTAGTTGTATCAATGATCTAGAATAAACAGGGTGATACAGGTTCAACACTTTTATTTCTGTATCTGGGACAACCTTTGCTATCAAGCTTTCTGTTAGTAATTAGTTTATACTTCAAAATCCAATTAAAATTCTGATTATTCAACACATTTAAGGTGCTTTATTGCTGAACAGTGAACAGCAGCTCCTTCTAATGCCTGAAATAGGAAATTTTATTGTAATAACAAAACAACCGCGATGGTTAAAAATTAAGAATTATTTTTAAATGTTTGAAAACCCCATTAGTAGGCTAGGAGTCTCTTGGAAAGATATAGAAAGAAGAGATGTTACAGGAAGTAAAAATATTTTATACCATTGGTGCTAAAAATAAGGCAGCATCAGCAACCCGCGAAGTAATAATTACATTTGGCTTGTACTTCTCCAGACATTCAACAATAGGAGCTGCTCCCAGATACGTGCTGATACCCTAAGAAATTAGACCAAAAACTTAAGTCAGCTTTTCCAGTGACATCCTTAATAGGAACCTTTGGTTCCAAATAGAATTCCTCTTCTGCTGCTGCTGGCTAAGATTTTACAGCCACAAAAATGATTATAAAAACACAATGCAGATATGGACATCAAATTAATTATAGAAAACAAACACAAAAAGTACCAGATTCTTACTCCTTCCATGATATATGATTTCTCGGTTGAGGGTCCTGAACCTGAATATGCAATAATAGAATACACATTATAAATAGCCTTTGATTGAAACAAATACTGCATAATTTTCTATTTTCTTTTTTTGTTACGAGACCTATATTCGTTTTATTATTTTGAAGCCAAACTAGTTAATACCCTACGAGACCATAAAAGAATCTGGGCAGTCATACCTGATTCTTTGATAGAAACCTCATGAGTCACAGCAACACGAACACTAAGCCCCAGGCTAGTGGCAATTTCTAGAACCTTCTCTTGAGCGCCAGGTGGGTCCACTACCCAGAAAAAGAATCGAAAAGGAATATATTTAGACAAAAAGAAGATAAGATGAAGGAAATATTCAATCTTCAATATGTTTACTTGCACCCATGTTGGTAATTATGCAGGTTCCTCTCTCCACAGCCAATGGCAAGAGCAAACGCATCCAATCTGAAACTGAGAACCATTGAAAAAGTAACAGAAAATTAAGACAAGGACACGAAAAGAACATAGAAAGATAAAGAAACGAAGAGACAAAAACATACTACAAAGAAATGAAGAGACAAAAACATACTACGAGAGTCGTAACCATGGCCACCGGATAACATGATTTGAAAACGGTCAGCAAGCGTACGTTCCGCTAAGCATTCAAGTACAAGATAGTTAAGTGGTTCAACTCTCTGAAGCAGCTTAAGCGCTGCCATTGGCCTGTCTCCTCCAAACCCAGCTCCACATCCTATATACACTTTTTCTCTCCGCTTTTCAGGCTTCACTCTCTGCAATTCAACATCACCCAGTGACTCGACCTATTAATACTCATGCTACCATACAGTTTTAGAAATTAAAAAAAAAAAAAATCTAACCAGCTTGATCACGCAGTTATGAATCTCTTCAAACTCTTGCTTTTCCATTGAAAGCTTCAATCACTTGAAAATATTGATATTGGAGGAGTTCAGTGATCAGATTTCTGGTCTATTAACAATTAAATAAAGAGAAAAGATGATATATATCTCATTCACGTAAGCAAATAATCAAATAAAGACAAGTTTTATCTAAATCTCATTCTCACCCACCTAAACAAATAACTAATGACGATTCTAAAGGGCTCCGGGCGTGTCAGGGTTATTTCTTCGACTACTTAACGACGTCGTTCTGAGTCGTATTACAACTGTACAACGATACGAAATACAAGGTTAGAACTGTATCAATGTTTAAGTTGGAAACTTAGAAGGATTTTAGTGAGCTTTCAACCTCTGATAAAAAATGACCTTTGGTTTCATCGACAAGCAGTAAAATAAATTATATCATCAATGATTAATGGTAAATTCAAAAACTTTGATGTGAACTTGATTTTTTATTTCTGCAGAAATCCACAATTTGAAGTATATGTAAATTATAGGACCAATTCCCATATTGAAGTTTTTCTTTCTATCATGTTCTGAGTACAGACATTCGATAATCAAATTTTGAGTTACGGCAAACGGAAAGAATTTTCACCTTGTTAGGTTGAACATGTTGAACCTTTTTTGTTCAAGTGATCATTATCAAATCATATGATTATCAACATGTACGACGTCAATGTACCTCTTCATCTACTATCTATCAGAAAAAACATAAATGAATACAGATAACATACAAACACCAATAGAACATCGGGCAACATCTCATTCCATTTCCTTAATCAAAACTTTGCTTCTTGATTCTGCTTTATCCTCCATTTTCACATAACTCTTACCACCACCATAATCTATATATGAAAGTTTTTCTGCCTTTAAGATGGCTGCTGCAGAAGACCAAGCTTCCCCCAGCTGCTCATGCACCCAACACATCATGAAATAAATCTTCCTCTCAGCAAGCTTCAGCTTCCTCCTGGTTTCCACTCTTCCAGAGTTTTTAGTCTTCTCTGACTTTAGCTCCCTTTCCCCTGCCTGAATCATCCTCTGAAGATCACAAAGTGAGCAGATTAAAGCAGAACCTCCTAGAGATAGTAGGATTATTACATCGTCAATAACAGCCAATCCAAACTGCAATCCTCCCATGTGTTTGTAAGAAGTGCAAGTCTGCTCCAAGCAATAACACACGGCTTCCTGCACACTTTCTGGCTGCCCACCTTGGCCCAAGACAGCAGACACACTCAAAGCCATCATTGCTGATCCTAGGGCATCTGATTGCCAATCTCCATTATAAAGTCGAAGGGTGAAACAGTAACTATATATCATGTCAACCAAGTGGAAAACTAAGAGTGGAGACGGCTCTGTAGAGCTAAGTTTGCTAACTGGAGGCAGTGGGGTTTCAGGGCCAGATGGAATCTCAGTGGATTCACTACTTTCTGTATCATGGTCAGGTGGCACTGATACTTCATGCTTGTCAAGAGGTTGGACAAGCTGAGTTCCTTGCTGGCTAAGACAGATTGTTCTAGCCGAAGGCTTCAGCCACCACGGATCCCACGGCTCAATCATCTTGCTCAGTGCTCCAGATGCCATGGCTCTTTGAAACAATTTCTTCTCTTTCGCAGATAAATCATCAAAACTGACCTGTCCACCTGCATAGAGGACATGAAAAGTATATCAAATCAGCTTCAGGCAAAATGCCCAGAATCCAGGGAAAACATACTCCAGTTGACATACCATTCGATCTCACTCCAACTATAACCTAAGGAGTGCAGGAATCTGTTTATTTGTAAGAGTCAAATCAGAACTGAATGATAGGAAGCAATTGCAAGGCAACATGCACAAAAAACTGGTGAAAACAAAAATTTAATGGAACATACCAGACAAGATTTTTTGAATTGTCTCCTCAGATAGAGTTGATTCTGCCAGAAAACAAGAGTATAAACAATAAGAAACCATTTCAGGCAATTACTTAATTAGCAGATAATGGAACGTGAAATATTGCTATAGCAATTACAAACAGATACTTAGAATTGTAGAATGTTCATATGTTACCAAAACAAAAGGACATATCAATCTTGCGCACACTCCTCTACAAACAAGACTCATAAGGAACTAACCCAACAAGATTGTTAAAAGAAACAATCAAAGTAGAGATATACAAGGAACTAAACAAATTGATTGGTAATTAAGTATAACAAGCAGTTTGAGAAACACAGCAAATATTGGTAGAAATTCATATAAAATACATTCTTTAGGTATTCGATAGAGATTCCTAAATGCAACCCCAATACCCAATATTTCTTGCCCAGAGCCCTTCATTAAAGATAACAAAGGAACAATACTCCTCCATCTAAATTAATTAAGGACATAACAGAACTCTTTGAAGCAACAAAAAGAGCAATAAGAACATACCATCCTCATCCATGCTATCAATCTCCTCTTCCATGCTATCACTTTCCTCTTGAGAATGTAATCGCTTCAATATTTCTAGCATTTTTCGTTTAGTTTCATCATCAGGCTGCATATGCCGCATCTCATCTACCACATTTTCTCGCATGAAGGATTCAGTACAACTACGACTATGAGACTGTTAAGAAGAAAACGAATTAAAAAGAGCACTTCAGCGAACAACATCCAATTTTTGAATTTCACAATTCACCAACTTCTTAAGATAAGTCTATTAGTCAAGAACATAACATCCATTAAAAAATGGTAGTCCACCATGAATTTCTGCCTACCTGGTAACATTTAAGCGAACAATATCGAGTATTACATCGTGGGCAAGTATACTGAGAAAATTGCTTCTGACATCTGCAGGCATGTAGATAAACTTTAATAAATCAAAAGAGAGAAACTAATATATCAATTAAAATCAATATAATAAGAAAAACAAAACCAAACCAAACACACTATCACAACATTACGAATTCAAACTTCATCGATATAACTTAACTGTTTATACCCACTTCAACTGACTAACAAAGTAGCATTTTCTCATGGGAAAAAGAAAAAGTAGCTGATGGTTAAAAAGAACTTACACGTGGCAGACTGTCCGAGTGGGAGGATTCAATGAAGACGAACTGGAAGATTTTTCGGAAGTAAGGATTGTGTCAGCCATTTCCAAATAGAAAACAATATAAATTATGTGCTACCCAAATTATCGTTAGGGTTTGTAATTCAAATTATTCGATTGTCAAACTCCAAAGGAGTTTTGGCTTCTGCCAGCTCGCACCCAAGAGTCCTGAGAGTTTTTGTCCATAGCAGAAAGAACATTCTACAATCGTGCATAATTTTATTGGGTATTTAGCACAATTTCTCAAAAAATGTCCGGCCCAAATAGGTCCAGTCTAAAAGCCTAGTTGAGTCGGCACGTGCATGATTCCTGTCATGGGCTGCACGTAGGTCCCAATTCCCATTTTAAGTGGAAGTTATCCACAAACTTGATGACTTGTCCATCTTCTAGATTGATCTGTGGCTATCCGACCTTTAGCTTTAGCGCGTGATGGTCACTGACCAATCACAAATTCTGTATCATTTTCATTGAATTCTCCTGATTACTAAAACCAAAAACCAATCCGCTCTGGACATTTTCAGTTTCCTGAAACGTCTCGACCGTTAGTTCCCCAGCTTCTGAACCGTGCTTGTTTGCAAAGCTCGTGCTTTTGCTGGATAATTTGCTACCATAAACCGTAATCCTTAGCGCAGAAGCTCCATGCTATTATTCTAGCTTATTAAGAACTAAATTTACCTATCGAATCTCCCGGTAATTTACATATTCGTTTTTGTTTGCTTCAGTTAATGCTCTGTTTGGTTGCTGAGAAACTGTGTAGAATGCTAGTGAAACCATGAGATAATTTGCCAAACTTTTCAATTAGGAATGTCGAATTTTGCATGCTTTAGAAACTTGTCGTTTGCAATTGCAGGAGAATGTTAGTATATGAAGCATCTTCAAACGGAAATTTGAATTTTGACATAGGGAGTTGATTGGTGAGATGAGCAGCTTATCACTTTTAGCTGGAAATTGTGCAACAGTAAGTAAAGGAGATGTTCGGGGCTTGGAGCTTGGGTCAAGCTCTTATTTTGGCGAGGAATTGTTTGCTGGCTATTTTCTTAAAAGTTCATTCAAAAGATTAAATAGAAAGAAGTTTGGTGTTGTTGCAAAGGTTAAAATTGGGAAGAAGCATGAGTACCCTTGGCCTGATGATATTGATCCAAATATCAGTAGTGGGCACTTGACTTACTTGTCTCATTTCAAGCCTCTTACTGAGAAACCTAAACCAGTGACTCTTACATTTGAGAAACCGCTGGTTGATCTGGAGAAAAAGATAATTGAGGTAACTAGCTGTGTAACCTTTATGTCTTAAGTGACAGAGCAAAGAAAGTTACGTTCTTTGAGCCTGATAATGTGAGACCTTCTTCCTGTGTTTTTACTTAGTTCAATATGCGAGGTGCAGGTACGTAGAATGGCTGGTGATACTGGTCTTGATTTTAGTGAACAAATTGAAGCTCTGGAAAAGAAATATCAACAGGTAATTCTTATATGCATTTTATGTCATGTTATTATAAATTTTTTTTTTTCTTTTATACTGTTTAGAATTACATTCTACGTGATTGGTTCCATTTCTTGACATTGCTGTAAAATTTGATATATAAATTCAGGCCTTGAAAGATTTGTACACACATTTGACACCCATTCAACGCCTATCTATTGCTCGACATCCAAACAGACCAACTGTTCTTGATCACATATTGAACATAACAGAGAAGGTAATTAATTACTCACATCACTTTCATAATATATTCTAAACAGTATGAGAAGTACAATTTCTGATTCTTACTTCTATTTCATATAGTGGGTGGAACTCCATGGAGATCGTGCAGGCTATGATGATCCTGCTATAGTAACTGGTATTGGCAGCATGGAAGGTAAGAGATACATGTTTATAGGCCATCAGAAAGGTAGGAACACGAACGAGAACATTTTCCGCAACTTTGCCATGCCAACTCCTCATGGGTATGTTTCAAGGATCTCATGTTCTCATTGTTAAGTGTATGACTTCAGTATGTTCATTTTAGGCTTCCGGAATTCAAGTCAAAATAATTAATGTGATAATTAAACGTTCCTCATACATTTATTTAGTTTATCTTTCTGACTAAATTTCCAAAGGTTAACTGAGATGTTACAATGATTTTACAATCTTGAACACATGCTAAAATTAATTCACAATGTAATCATGTTTGCTTTGTCTGTTGACAGCTATCGAAAGGCCCTGCGCATGATGAAATATGCTGATCATCACAGGTTCCCAATCATTACATTTGTTGACACTCCTGGAGCCTTTGCTGATCTCAAATCTGAGGAACTTGGTCAAGTGCGTATGCAGTTGTTCTTCATGCATTGCACATTATATTATCTTCAAAGCAAATTCTTTTTGTTTTATGTCTGTTTTGCTCTGTGCAGGGTGAAGCAATAGCCCATAATCTGAGGACCATGTTTGGCCTCAAAGTGCCCATCATATCAGTGGTAACTGGTGAAGGTGGCTCTGGGGGAGCCCTTGCCATTGCTTGTGCCAATAAATTGTTTATGCTTGAGAATTCAGCTTTCTATGTTGCAAGGTGATAATAGTTCTTTCTATTTTCTCCTTCCTTCTCTTGCTAATATTACATGTAAACTAGTTAATTCAAGGCATAAAAAGTAAAGCCTTTATATTAAATGGTTCAATTTTTAAATCTTTATGTTTATAAAGGCGCTTCATATATAATTTTAAATGGATTTGAAAGTCTAATTTTTCATTCCTTATCCCCACTCTGAGAATAATCTTTTCCTTGTTATTTCTCCCTTAGCCTCTAGCCTGTTACGATTTTACTTTCTCATTTGTTATCCATATGCCATGTGAGTTTGGTGGTTCTTTCTCATTGCTCTGTTTCTTTGATTAGTCCTGAGCGGTGCTGCTATATTGTGGAATCATCCCAAGCAGCTCCAAAGGTATACGATTTTTGTTTAACAAAATTAAAATATCATTTGGTAGTAGTTAATCATTCGGATTGTAACCATATACATTAATCAGCTATCACTTGACATTGTATAGGCAGCTGAAGCTAAGTCACAGCTCAAGAACATTACAGGCTTAAAATTGCTGATGGATTATTCCTGTAAGCATTTTGATCCTTTAGTTTTTTCCTTGTTTGATTTACTCAGTCTTATCATGAGATTCATTTTGTTGTTATTGATATAGTTGCTCTTATTTAGGAGCCCCTTGGTGGTGCACACTCAGATCCTGCGTGGGCTTCCAACAAATTAAACTCACAATCATTGAGGCTATGGAGGTGAGTGATATTAAATTCCTATATTTCTAAGTGGAGAAGATTTGAGAACAGCAGCTATAAACTGCTGTAAACTTATTTCTAAAATTCATGTTATTCTTCTTTCTGGTAGAATGATGTTGATGCTAATATGATGGCTTCCTTCTGATAACACGCTGCTGACAAATATCTTCCGATAAGAGTCACTTCTTGCAATTCTAAAACTCTTGAATCTTCTTACTTCTCAAAATTTTTCATCTTTGATGCTTTAGTGGGAAATTTAGTTGAGAACAAAATTTTGTGTGCTATCCTTGTAGCATTACTTTTTCCCATTAGATGATATCCCACGTGAGGAGGCCTCAGAAAATGTGCTTCGTTCTATTGACATTTTGGTATGTGTTTTTATCCCAGTGATGGAGAAAGCTTTCTTTTCAATACTTATTAGTTTTGTATTTTTTTTTTTGGCCGCTTTATGGCTTTTCCTTTTCCATTTGTTGATTTCTTGTCATCTGCACTTATAGCCATGCTGAAATGAACATAGGAATTGACAAAATGGATACAGAAGCCTTGCTGCGACACCGAATGCTCAAATTCCGATCAATTGGGGGTTTCCAGGAAGGTATTCCAGTGGATCCAGAGAGACACGAAACATGAAGCCTTCTGAAGTCAATATGCTGAAGGCTTCTGACATAGAGTCAGACCTTGAGAACTTGAAGAAAAAGATAATGGAAGCAAAGATACCATCTGATCCAATTACTAGCCAAGCAATTGAAAAACTCAGGCAAGATGTAGACGAGGAGATTACCAATGCATTCATTTCAATGGGATTGCAGGAGAAGCTTGAATCAGTTAAGTTGGCAATATCTAAAGCACCAGGAAATCAGCCCCTTGATCAAAATTTAAAGGAAAAAGTGGATAAAATAATGCAAGAATTCAGGCATAATTTGTCGCAGCCAGGGACCTATCTTGGGTTAAAGCAGAAGCTTGAAAAACTACACACAGTTAACAAGCTCATTGAGCTGAAACAGAAAAGTGAGAAGCTGAAAGAAAAAATTAACCAAAAAGTTCCAGCTGAGGTTAAGGAAAAGATGAAACTTTTCAAGATTGCTCAAGAAAAGTTATCAAAAGGCGATCCACTGGATACGGATTTGGTGGAGGAAGTAGGAAAAGCCAAGAAGGAGCTGATGGAGGCTTTGAAGTCAGCTGACTTGGAAATTGTTGGGGTAACAAAGAGAAACACAAAAACTCCACCTCCAGAATTGCAAGAAAATTTAGTAACTGTGAACAAAGAGATTCAGAAAGAGATTGAAAGAGTGATAATTGAATCGGGACTTAGTGTCAAAATTGAGGAGTTGAAGGCAGAAATAGCTCAAGGTTCAAGTTCAGAAAAAGTAGAAAAAATGGAAGCAGAGATCAAGAATGAGATTCTCGGTGCTTTGGATGTTGCAGCATTAAAGGAAAAGGTTGAGAATTTACAAGTGGAGTTGCAATCCTTTTTGGAAACAACTGGTGAGTCTGAAGATAAGGTCCCGACTGAAAATGGAAGATTGTGAAATACCACTTGCTTTTTTGAAGAGATATGTAAAATGCATGAAAGATTTGTGTTGGTTTTTGTTTAATTATACCTTTTCAATATTCTAATCTTACTTAGTTGATGTCATCTAACTCCATGATGGGATTTCATGTATTGCTTCCTTTTAATTTTTATTTCGTATTGTTTTATCTGTAAAGATACTTTCGCTTGTCTCTATTAGGATTCTTCTAATTTTATGCTTACCTTAATCTGCAATGCTGCCTTTTATTATTATTATTATTATTATTATTATTATTTTATCGAGTTGTCTAGGTCAACACTTGCGCTTGATTAATCTTTAAGATCCTGAAATTAAGGACCGAAAAAACTCTCCAATAATCACTCCTATTAGCAATTGAGAAAAAACAAACTCAAAACGTTTTAAATCATACACCCAATAA